GCGCACACTGTGTTTTTAATTTTATACTTTTTTTTTTTTTTTTTTTCTTTTTTCTAGTAGAAACTGCTTTGCATAATTGTGGTAGCTACTCTGGGAGTTTCGTGCAGCAATAATGCTGCCAGTTTGGAAGCGGTAGGAGCTATGCTAGTTACTCTTTGTGTGGCCGTGTTCTCAATAGGCAGGGCTATACTGTTCCAGGGTCCTCCTGTTGCTGTCCCACAGTGCCCTGATGCCTCATCTCTCTGGGTGTCCCTTCTTATTTGACTAAATGGAGAGCCTGACTTGTCTTGGCAGAAATATATACGCCACACAGTGCAGAGAAGGCAGGATTAAACGCTCCTGGTTTGACCCTTGAACAGTAGGAAAGGACCTGCAAAGTTGCAATGCCCGGTAGGTCCCCTTCCTTGGGCCGAGCGGTGGAAATGGGCCTGTCTCTTGGAGATGAGATGGAGAGGGGCGGGGCAGGCGGGATGGAGATGGCCTGAGGTGGGCTGACAGATGGTGCCGTGCAATTAGGGTGCTCTGAAGATAGCATGGGACTATATTGGTTTTCAGTTAATTCCTTAATTCAGTTCCACTGCTTAAAGCCCCTTTGCACATGAGCACACTGCGTGATCAGGAGCAGCGAGGAAACACTCTCCAAAGCCCTGGGCAAGCATTCCAACATAGTCCCACCATCCCTGTGCGAGGCAAGGCTGGGCTGGAAAGTGAAGGCACCTCACTGGGGCCGGGCGTGACAGAGCCTTGGCAGCTGCCCCTTGCCGTTGCTTTGCAATCAGTGCTGCATATTAATCCCGAGGCCGGGAGGATCAAACTGTCCCGGACCTTCAGAAGAGCTCACTCTATAGGTGTTGGTGGCTGTGTTTTGAGTGCGGTCCATAAACCCCAATGGCTTTGCACTCCTTTTAAGTAGGAAACGGAGAGGGTAGGAGGGGCTGCTGCTGTCTCCAGCAGTCTGAAATCTTCACCCAAGATTAAAGTTGAGACAACGGAGCCTGGGTCCAGCCCTCAGAGTCCTGCTCACCTCATCTAAGATGCGGTTTTTAGCACGTGTGATTGCAGAGTTGAGGGCATTAATCCAGGACTCTTTCTCTTCTGGACTCACAGCCAGGAAGATCAGATTTGGTGCCTACAAAAGAGAGAATTCAGGTCAGTGCCAGCGACTAAACTCATACAGAGATGCTTTCACACTGTCCCTGCCCACAGAAAAGCTACACGGCCTTTACAGCTGGCTTGCCTTCGTGGAAAAAAGCAAAGCAGACCTGATCCTCCAGTCCTGCAAAACGGCACTGGTCTGCCACACACTGCACCTGGCCTCTCTGCTTCTTGGCAGCCCTTTGCAGAGCAGACCATGATTCCTCACAGCACCCAGCTTTTCAAACCAAAAGCTGTGTACCATATTTACTTCCCTCGTGGCTGCAGTTCCTCCTTCCCCCTCTTTGCCTTCCCACACACCATCCTAGATTTTACCCTCATCAAACGATGATGCAGCCTTTCTGTGCATCTGCTGCTCACATGCGATTTATCTGTTGCCACCTCAGACTTTGAGAGAGTCTGTTAGACAAGCAGCTACAGCAGGTACCCACAGAAGCAGCCATATTTTCCATACTTTGATATGTCAGATGCACACTGAGGGCAGAGCAGTTCTGAAAGTATGGCCTGTGTAGGGGATCCAGGATGCTAGCGGGTTTTTTTAAGTTAGATACTCAGGAGAAATCAATTTTAGCCTCCACAGCATTTTGTTCAATTCTCTCCATTGCTCAGGGCGCTTGGGGACAGCGCGGGTGCTTTCCTTTTTCCCCTTCTCTTCCCTTTTCGCATCTCATGGTGTTACACAATCCTTATCAACGTGTGGGGCGGGCCAGCTTGGTCTGCTGCAACAAGTCAGAATGAGCAGTGTAAATCCAGCTCACGTGTGTGGCTGTGGGTGGGTGCATCTGTGCCAGAGACAGCTTGCAGTTAGAGACTGGCTCTCTTTTTGCAGAGGCCACTGAGACCTCACGGAAAGTCCTGCTCCTAGGTAGCAGTGCCCCTGTTACAGCACTTTTTAGCTTTCCTCTGGGCAGAAAGTACTCCTGGGACAAATTACCATGCAGCTTTTTTGATGCTGCCCAAATCTGGGCAGCAAACCCAAGGACCATCAGCTCCCACCCTTCCCTGCCTTCCCCCTGTGCATAAACAAGTGCAGTCAGCTAAAGCCCAGCTGCAGGAGCGGCGGCAGTAAAACGGCTTTGTCCTTGCTCCTGGCAAATGTTCTGATACCTTCTTTCCCAAAGCCAGAATACCGCAGGTAAGCAGATCCAGAGCTCAGTGCTTGGTCGTGTTTACTCAGTGCACCAGAGGCCCGCGTCCTCTCCCAGCAGAAACCCTGCTTCTCTCTCCGTCTCTCACTGTTGCTAGCAGTCCTGACGTGGTAAATGGACGTTCATATATTTTAAACCACGAGACGTGATCTGGACTCCTACACCACTCAGCCTATGCAGTTCTACCCCCCAATTACTGTGCCAAGCCCTCAGGCCTGGAGCAGGTAACTGAGAGGCAGAGCTCTGCACCAAGAGCTAATGGCTTTCGCGGGCTGACCACATGCTTGAGAGCAAAGCGTACCGTGTTTCCAGGCTGTCTGGAGTGGGCGAGGGTAAATTTGCTGTGGTTCTTCTTGCTTCTGCTTTTGGACTTCCTGAGCTCTTCACATTTCTCATAATCACTCAGGTCAAACATTTCCTGTATGTTCTTTTCATCTTTTACCTGCAAAACAAAAATAAAATGACAGCCTTGCAGATGTCAGACAGAGAGGCGGTAACAGCGGGGTGCCTGGCTGGAGCTGCTGTCTGCACAGGGGGGTTGAATATACAGAGCATGTGCTGGAGCCTCTGCCGTGTTACGTGGTCACCGAAACATCGTGCACAACTACAGTAATGGTGCTGTTAGCTGGGGAGTGCTACACTTGGGTTTGGGGGGGAGAAGCAGAGATTTCAACATGATAGTTTTGACTCCAGTCTCTTCTGGAATGAGGGGAACGTATTTAGAAGGATAACTTGAAAATCACAGTCTCCTCGGTTCATTCCTGCTTTGCTACAGATTCCTTCGGGCCTTAACTGCCTCTCCCACCCGCAACATTACGGGGGCTAGGCTGAACGGACATGCAGGTGTGATCAGACTTCTCCCTGTGTTCATGCTTGTGGACCCTCAAAATGAATAGGATTTACTTCAGCAGCAAGGAGAGGACCCTGTCTGCTGGGAGGAGGTTGGTGCGGAGGCAGGAGATGCTGGGAGGAGGTGGACTTTCATCTGCTGATTAAAAGGGGCAATCATATTAGCGCTTGTTGCTTTTCTGGAGACAGCGTAACAAAAGTTTGAGGGATAAAGATTAGCACTTCCTATTTTTAACCTGGTGGTATTACTGAAGCCTGTGCTGACAGCTGATTTGGGGGGTGGATGAAGCACATCCAGTCCCAGATTACTGACACGACGCGTGTGCTGCTCTCCCCCGCTGCTGAGCCGCATCCCTTGTGAAGGGGCTATGGGCAGCATTCACCCGGGCACCGGTGGGGTTTGGCTGGCAGCTGCTTGCCAGGCTCTGACTGCTGGGTGGCTGGCCAGGCCCCCAGGGACCTTCGGCAGCCAGGGGGCTCACGGAAGGTTTCGAGAAGGAAGAGAGTGCTAGGGCTTGGCCTTCACTGACAGAAGCACTTCTTGGTTGTCCTTTAGGGAGTCATCGAGTGGCCCATGCACTGTCCCATGACAGACAGACCCCTGCCCTGAAGGTGCCATCACCTTTGGAACAAAGAAGAGAACGCCCAGCCTGTCTTCTGCCTGGGCCCCCTTGGTTTTGTGTGGCTTTCCTTTTCATTGCTGTCTTTAATGCACTATCTTCACGTCCCGCTCCTCCAGCAGGCCAGCTCTCCTCTTTCCCATGGCAAACATGAGGAATGTAGGTAACTGGGATGGGAGAGAACTTGGTTTTGCATGTCCGTAAGGCCAGAACTCTTATCAGGCTCAAATCCACGTCAATCTGCTTAATCCACCTCCAGCCGGGGTCGTTACAGGCTGGGATCCGCAGTGGAGTGTGGGTAACTCAGGTGCCAGAACGGCAGACGGTGATGAGCTCTTCCCTCTTGGATTTCCTGAAAGGACTCCACCCCATTTAATATGTTTCCTCCCTCGTTTTGGGAAGCACTGAAGGAATTCCCCATGATTTTTTCAATACAATTTAAACAAAGAGGCTGACTAAAATGCTGTAACCAGCTTTCTAACCAGAGGCACAGATAAACTGACCATCTGGCCTTGCATAATGACTGCAGTTCCCCCTCTATCCTTCTTCCTTCTATCCCCCGCGTTTGCCTTCAAGGACTAGGAGGCAGACACTGTACACAGCTATTCTTGAAGCCCCAGAAGCTATTGCTTATTTCTGCTCATAACAACAGCCACTGTGTATGGACTATTACAAACAGGTACAGAAATGTCTCTCGCAGATAACATCTATCTGTACATCCTCCCCGTGCATTTCTAATCGGCTTTTCTCTCTTCCCAGTACCATCCTACAATCCACCTCTTTCCAAGAATCTTGGCTGGTTCATTTGCAGCAGGAAAAGCCGATCCCCTCTGAGCCCCCAGCTGTGCCACAGCGGCTGAGGCACAAGTCCGTGCTCCAGATGTTTGCTCTTGTAGGTCACTGGGACTTCCCTTCCCTCCTTTCTCAGACACGCAGAGCCTGCGCTGCGAACTCATGGGAGCTGGGACTCAAATAGCTCGTCTCAAGGAATATCTACAGGAGGCTGCAGAAAGGACGGGTGTAATCGGTGCAGATAAACACCCTTCGTGTGTAGCTAGGCCTCCAAAAGACTTGGAGTGACAAGACAACACCGTGCTTGTCTGCCCATGACACACAGAGGAGACCCAGCCGTCTTTCACCAAAGTGCCGTGTGCATGTGTAGCCCAGTTCTAAAATGCTGAAGAACTAAGAATAAGCAACATCTTGGGGTCCCATTTCTAAGTTTCAGACAAGGTGGGCAGGTTCAGCCCCCCCAGGTATTCTGTGGGGTGGGTGCACGCATGGATACGGGTGCCTAAGGGTACGTCTGCCCTTCAGCCGGAGCTGCAGCGCAGGGAGGAGAGGCAGGTTCGTGCTCCCTTTGGATTGATTCCCTCTCGTACACAGCCTTGGTAGTATAATGAGGCCATAAAGTGAATAGGGCTGTAATTTAGTCATTTGAACGTGGCTTTGTTCTGCCTTGGTGGTGGGAAGAGGTCTCAGCATCAGCCTGAAATGGGCTCCATCGCGGTGATGCAGTGGCGGCGATTTCGCGGGGCATGGGCAGGACAGCAGCCTGGTCTCACAAGGGGCATTGCCAGCTGATCTCCCCCCGCTCTCCCGCACTGGGACACGCAGGCAGAGCAGTAAGCAGCAGAGCAAAATAACAGAGCATTCAGTGTGTAAACAGTGAAACTAGAGAGAAGGAAGGTGAAAGGCAAACTTCAAAAGTACCAGCCAGCTCTTTTGTCCTTTGTGGGAGGCTACTGAGGCCAAAAAGAGGGAGGCGGTGGGCACAAATTACAGAACAGAGCAACCTCAGAGGCAGGAGAGGATGAGTGCTCAGAGGCTGAGGACAGTCATGCAGCCCACCCTCTGTAAGATAAAGAAAAAAGCAACCCTTAAAGACCCACAAAACTGCTGGAACCACATGGTAGCACAGCCTAAATCCCAGTCACCTACATCAATAGGAGGTGGGTGACAAACCTTCAGTGTGTCTGCCCCCCTCCACATTTTCAGTGAGATTGGAGCCATGCAAATAAAACCTTTCAGGTTTTACCAGCAGAGAATATGGCTTGATGTGTTCCCAGCACCCAGGCAACACACGGGTCTTGGGATAACATTTTGGAGACCTTTGGGAGGAAGTAGCCTCAGGTGTCGGTTCTTAGTAGGAGGGAATGAAGCGCGATTCCTCTGTCGCCCGGCGTGGTTTGTAAGGGAGGTGGCAGGGGCAGCACAGCAGCACCGATCTTCGTTTGTGTCAGGGTGACCTACTGCAGCTCGTCATGCACCCAGGGTGCTCTGAGTGGAGTTAATCCTAGTGGGGGAGGTTTATCATTACGTTTGCTCGTTTGTTTTCTTCTTCTTTGCTGAATATAGATTGATTTTTGAAAGTGAGGGGTGACTTTGAGTCTCAGATGCTGAATTGAAACTCTTTAAGAAAAGGTCTGAGTTCTGGGAAGGGCTGAGCATCTCTGAATAGCCTTCAGTCTGGCTCCCCATCCCCAGACAGTTTGTCTCTTGATCTCAGACTTGCAGGGAAGGTGGCTTAAACAGGCTCTCCAGGGCCTGACGGTTCCTCTTTTCTACGGCCCCTTTTGGGAGTCAAGAAGCAGCTTCCTTGCCTGGGGCGGCGTATCCTCTCCTGTCTGCCGCACGGCTCTGCACACCTGCCTGTGAAGCAGCCGGGGCTCTGCAGTTGCGGGTATTTTTTTGATCCTGCTGCTTTCATTAGCCTTTCTTAAGGTCTCCCACACTGCAGCTTGAGGCTGAGAGGAATCAGGGACCGCTTGGCTTAATGGGCTAGGAAGGGAGAGGCCTGGATGGTCGATTTTGGCAGAATCATTCCTAGCTGGGAGGTGGCCAGCAGGTCCTTCCTTCTCACAGCTGCTGAGTGCCTGGCATGCAGCGAGCTGTCAGATCTCAGAGCCTCATGGACAGGCAGGTCCTGTGCTCCTTGCCCTGCAGGGAAGCTCTGGATTGAAAGGATTAAGGTATATAAATCCCAGCAATTGCTGCCATGGCTGTCTGCTGGCTTTGCTATCCGTATCGCACCTGCCCTAGGCGGACAAAACAACTTCTTATCCTGGGGTTCAGCTGGGCTCCTCCCCATGCTCCCAGAAATGCCTCCACACTCCAAGTAAGCCAGGCGAGGGAAGGGAAACTGAGGCACAGAGAAGGAACCCAAAGTGCCCCCCATCTCCAAAGACAAAGCCAGGTCCCTAAAGCAGGGTAGGTTAGACCCTGGAGCCATTAGACCACGCACTGCCAACGGCAGCTGCCGCTGCTTGGGGTATAGCTACGCTGCAGCCAGCCACGCAGCCAGCGGCTAATCTGGGCCCGCCGGCAGCGGCGAGATGTGCTGAGGCTGACATTGCTGGCGCGTTGCTAAAGTTCAAGGAGGGGAGCTGCATTCCTCACACGCCTCGCCCCCGCAGCTGCTGCCCCAGCAGGGTCAGCCCGCCCCGACGCACTCCCTGCGCCTGTGGGACGTGGCGGTCCCGTAGCCACGTAGTGGGTCAGAACATCAGCCGTGGTACCCAAAGTACCTTCGCTCAAAGGCTTGTAGGGCTTATTTCTAGCCTTGCAGCTAGTCATGCTTCCAAAGGTCTGTTTTCTCCTGCGCGAATGCTCCTTCGCAGCACTCTGGCAACGGGAGGATCCCTAATCTGGGTTAAATTACCTGCCCCTCGGATGTCTTGCTGGCGGACAGTTAAAATTTCTTCCCTCATCAAGTTGTCACCTGCAACAACTCTGAACCTCCTTGATTCAGACCAGGGCTGTGCTCTGGGGCCAAACCAGGAGCGCAGCGGAAGGGCAGTCACTCAGTCACCAGGCAAAGTTCTGCCGTTTTCCTCGGGTTTTTTTGGTGGAGATCTGCCTGAGCAGTTCCCTGTTGAGATGTGACATGCTCAAAGCAAATGCGGAAGGTACAGAAAATCACAAGACACCAAGTGTAACGTATTCACGAGACACTCAAGAGGTCATAACGTGG